GGCAGGGAATTCCTGAGAGGCTAGAGATGAAAAGGGGTTATGCTGTGGTCAGTGTGGGACTGGGCCAGTCCAGGGGCTGAATGCCCCTGAGAAAACCCCAGGAAAGTCCTATGCCCTGAACTCAAAAACACCTTTGCCTTGTCTACCCCAAGTATTTTTCAAGTTTCACCCAAACAGATGTGTTGAGGAATGAACTTAGGGGTTATCAGCCTGCTTTACCAACTCTTTGTCTGGCAATGTAGCTTTGCTCCTTACCTCACCAGTTTGCTCTCTTCTATCCTCTCAACCCACCAGGCCAATATTACTATTATAGGTTCCATTTCACAATGAGGAAGCTGAATCATTAGGTCTAGGTCCAAGTCAGGAGATGAACCTCGCTCTTCCAGCCCTCTTCACCTGACTGTGCGCTAGTTTTTCCTAATCCGGCCTGACTGTGTCCAAGGCCACTATCCTTTCTTGTCCCTTATTCAGTGCCCAAGGCTGAAATCCCTGCTTACGACTGTCTTGATGGTCTGAGGCTTGGACCATGTTCTAAGTGCCCTTCCTGCATTACTACCAATGGGACCCTCCTAGGCTCTGCCATCCCCATCAGTTGCTCAGGCATACCATCCCTGCTGACCTGGGTCTCTTGCTCCAGAAACAGGAGCCTATTCTCCCATGGCCAGGCCAGCCTATCTCCCTTGCTCCGGGTGTGATAGCGATGGTGCTGGCAGTTAAAGCTTCAGGTACAAGGATGATGACACAGAAAAGCAGAGACTTAGAGGGAATGAGAGACAGAGAGGTCATGACAAGGACCATTTCTTAGCAAGGATCAAGTGAGGGGCCCCATCTTGCCCCAGGGACAGAGGGAGGCCCAGGCCTTTTCCAGATTGCTTGACTGAGTCTTGTATTTCCTGTGGAAGGGCTTAGGGGTCTCAGGGTTCATGGCTTCTGGGTGTGATAGGAGTTGCAGGGTCAGGCTAGCCATTCTATGAACAAAGTCTCCAAACAACCAGCAGAAGAACAGCCCTGGATGGATATTGGGGATAGCAGTCTGGATACTGCCCGGTGTTACTGGTATAGGGCAGCCCTGATACTAATGGATTGCCTGACTGTGGGTCCTCACCCGCGCGCTTAAAAGGACTTATCAACGCTCTACTGCAGGCACACACGAAAGGTTAATAAAAGGTTTATTTACAAGGGAAGCGCAAATGAGGAAATGTACAGCTCAGGGAGAAAAGTGGGAGACAAAGTTTTAAATGCGTCCTACCCTATCCACGGATCTGGAATCCCAAATGGCGCTCTGAGAGCTGGCCGCGAGCCAGGAGCCATGAAGCCAGGAAGCGAGTGAGAGAGCGAGAGACCCCAAGGCCCACGTGTTTGGTTTTATACCCAACCTGGCTGCTTAACTACACCCTCAGATCCCAGCCACCTTCCCTTTGGTGGTGACAGGATTTGTCTTTCCCAATGTCTTGATGGCTTTGGTCTGGAATGGGGGTGGAGTCCACAAAGCCTGCATGGAATTAGCTGAGGACATCCTTTCCCCCTAACATTACCACTGATGGGACAGTTTGGCTGCAAACCTGGAGGAAGAGGAAAGGAAAGTACCACTTCTGGGTGGCTGCTGTGGGTCCAGCCCTGTTTGGTCATTTATATCCCATGTCATGGGAGTCCACTGAGGGCTCTTTGAAGGCTGACACCCTGTCACTTAGTGGAGTGACCATACCTATAACCCTGGCCAATGTGAGTGAATCCTCACCAGATGTCCATACTGGCTGAGACTTGACACACATCATCTCACCTAACCCTTACTCAGCCCCCTTTCACAGATAAGAACTCAGGATCAGAGAGGTGTGGTCACCTGCCCAAGGTCATACAGCTAGCATGTGACCCAGCCAAAGCATACTCCCAGGCCTCAGCAGGCTTTTCTTAGGTCAGTGACAGGCACGTTATGGAGGCACAGAGGCAAACTCATCTGGACCCTGCCCTCAGTCAGTGAGGTAGCATCCAGAAGTTCCATCATGCAGAATATCTCCAGTCCAATATGGTCCAGACTCTCTGGATCCTACACAAGCCTGTTCTCTCTGGAGCCCTTGGTCCCAGAGTCTATCTCTGGAGGAAAGTTACCTGCATCCTTCCTCTGCTCTTGTCACAGTGTGTCCTGTATAGCCTCAGCCTCTCTTCCCTTCTCTGAGTATAGTGTGCTTCCCTTGGAGTCTCCAGGGAAGGAATATCAGTTGAGGCCAAAGTGTGTTTGTAGTCTCTGAGGTCTTAAGTCAAGAGCTTTGGGCTGGGAAGGTGCCTCATGTTGTCTAACTTAAATCCTTCTTGCTCTCGTACCTGCTGTCCTCTAAAGCAGTTCTTAACAAGGGGTGATTTTGCTCCCGAGGGAACATTTAGCAGTATCTGAATATATTTTCATCTGTCACAACTTGAGGGAGAGGGTGTTAATTTAGTGGGTAGAAGCCAGGGACACTGTTAAATATCCCACAATGCATAGCACAGGCCTACAACAAAGAATTATCTGGCCCAAAGACAAGCACTACTGAGATTGAGAACCCCCAGTATAAAACAAGGTTAGGCCGACCTTGATTTGAATCCTGCCTCTGCCACTTACATCCCTGGGAAAGTGGCTTCACCTCTTTTTGAGGTCATCACCCAAAGTGACACTCAGACAAAGCATGCTCCCTTACTCAGCCAAAGCATGGCCCTCATCTTAAGGGGACTTTGAGGACTGATTGAATTGCGCAGGGCCTGGCACTGGCATCAATGATAGCCATTACTCTTTTCACTTTTCCAAGGTGAACTTTAGAGTGTGTCTGGACCTGGAGCACCCTAAGGATCAGCCTTTCCTTACCCTCCCTCCAGAAGTCCCTGGCACAGGATGGGCCTGTTGTTGATGTTGAGGGAGAGGCTGGGTTGGCCACTGTGGACCTGGAGGGAGGGGTCAGGAAGTTAGTTTGATCCCAGGTGGACAAAGGTCAACTGAAACTCACCTTGCTCACCTTTCTCTCTAGTGCCACCCCAGAGAGCCATGGGGTAGGGATGAAGGGGGCAACCATGACACAAAATGTACTAATGAATATGGTTCCTCAGTTCAGGGAAGTGAATTCACATTGGGGCATCAGAGAGGGGTGGCATAACCAAGAATTCAGGCTCAGGGAATAGCAAGTTCAAAAGTCTGGTTGTGAGGAGAGAATCATAAGGCCTGTTTCCCAAATGATGGTGCTGTGTGACCAGAGGGGTTCAGTTTGGTGGAAGGAGCTTACTTCATTGGGCTGAGGAACAATATCAGGATTAGGAACCTGGTCATTAACTGGGTTTCAAATTAGGTCCTCCTTCCTGGCTATAAGATACCAGCATACCTGCTGCCCTCCAACCCCTGTGATGGAAAAGTTAATTGTTCTCTTTCCAGCCCAGACACCCTCTACCTGTCTTTATAATGAAAACAACATTTTGGGATCCAGATCTCTACCAGGTTTCTCCATCTCTGGAGGTTTCTTTAGACAACCCCCTCTACCAGTCCTGTAACCCACCTGATCTGGCCCTTCTCCCCCAGTTATCTTCCCCAGCCCAAGTTCCTCCCACCTGAACAATGTGGCTGTCCCTCTGCCCCATCCATTCCCTCTGGATCCTGGGAGTCCTTTCTGTTTTAACAACTACCACCACCTGCTCTATGAGAAGAGCAAAGCCCTAGCCATGGCCTGTCTCTGCTGTGAATCTTTTCATCAGCTCAGGCCTCCAGAGGGATTGATCCCTTTTTCCATCCCTGAGCCTCAGCTGGGAAGATCTGATCTGACTCTCCCATCCCCTTAAGTTGGTCTCTCAGGAGGACCAGGAACTCTCTTTGTCTCCAGAAAGTTACATTTCTTTGGCTAATGGAACCAATGGTTTGTTTTTCTGAGCTCTACGTTTAGGGGAATAAACCTCTGGGGTCCCCCTCCCCTGTGGAACTCTAGGCACGGGGGCTACTTAGTGAATGAATGAATGAATTATACCTGACAACCAACTCTGAAAAGTAGCCCAGGGCCTGCCAGGGGCAATGCACGGAGATAGGACAATTGGGGGCAGGAAAGTAGAGTACAAAGGAAATTGGGAAATTGGGGGGCGGGAAAGCAGAGTACAGGGGAAACTGACCAGCCACCCAGGGCAGCTAGAACCTCCTGCCCTGGAGTTTTCCCAGCTCCGTCTCCGGGGCCGGGCCAGGACCAGCCGGCCTGGCAGCGGGCACCGAGGCCGGCCGTGTCTACACCGCAGCCAACAGGAAGAGAAAGAGCCAGGCCGGGCGCGGCGGTCCAGTTGGCTGGTGGGGAGTCCCGGGGCGTGGACGCCTAGAGCTGGGGAACCCCCAGCCGGCGCCTCCCGGCCCGCGAGTGAGAGAGGAGTGATAGGGGTGGAATGGAATGGTCGGGCTCCTCAGCGTCTTCCGCTGTGAAACGGGGCCCCTTGCGAGGGCTGGCGCGCGGGCTAAAGGCAGGCGGCGGGGCGAGGGGTGCCGGGGAAGGCTGAGAGGCCCAGACACTAAGTGCCGGGCGCCCGAGAGCGGGAAGATGGACCCCCGCGCCGGCGGGCGGGGCGGAGCCTGCGGGGGGCGGGCCCTGGCGGGGGCGGGCTCGGGCGGGGCGGGGCCGGCCGGCACCTGGGTGAGGTCGCGCCGCCCCGCCCCCTCGCACTTCCGTGTGCAGCGGCGCGGGAGCGGGAGGCGCGGCGCCCGGATCCCCCGCGCGACCCCCGGCGTCCGCCCGTCGTGCCGAGGCCGGGGAGGCACCTCCCCGCCGCCGGGCCCGTCCCGGTCGGGCGAGCGCCGAGCCCGGATCGCGCGTCCGGAGCCGTGCGGGCCACGGGACCCCGGCGGCCGCGACCCCGGGCGCCTGGCGCTTCCCCCGGAGGTGAGTGAGGGCCGGGCCCCGACGACGCGGGATCCGGGGCGCCGGAGGGCGCGCCGCCCCTCCCCCCCGCCTCGGTTCCCGTTTCCGAAACTGAGAAACTGAGCCGCTGCCAGCCCAAGTCTAGCCGCGCGCCGGGACCCGCCGGTGCCTCAGTCTCCACCCGCGCCTGTCCGGCCCGTGTTCAACGGTAAAGACCGGGGCTCTTGCTCACGTCTGCTCTCGGCCCCGCCGCTCGCCCGTGTGTGCCCCCCGGATCCTCCGAGCGCCCGCTTGTCCCTCTGGAATCTCTGGTCGGTCCATCTGTCCCCAGCCCCTCTGTGCTCCCTGGTCCTTCGCCCTCCTCTTGCCCCCACCGCCCCACTTCCACCGCACCTCCCGCCACCCCCTAGATCCTGTCCTCCAGAAGCCGAGCTCGGGGCGCGCGCTCGCCGCCCCCTGCCCGCCCTGCGCCTCTCCTGACCCCCGCTCCCGCGGGCCGGGCCTCGCCTGCAGCCTCTGCGTCCCTGCCTCGTCCGGCCCGCGCGGCGCCCGCCTCCCCTTTGCCCGATCTCTTCTTTCAGTCTCGGCTGTCTCTCTCCGTCTGTCTGTCCTTCTGTCTCCAGGCTGGGCGTGGCCCCAGCCTCCACCATCCTCTTTCCCACCCTTACCCTCCACCGAGCCCGACTTTCAAACCTGGGGTTTGGTATGAGTGGGGGGATTTCCCTTCTCTGTCGCCCACCCTGTTTGCATGGACTCTGTCTCCTGCTGAGTCGCCTGGGCATGAAGGTATGTTGTGTCTGTGTTTACTTGTGTGCTCTTTGTCACTGTGTCTGGGACTTGCCCCGTGTGTCATTTTTCACATGTATGGCTTGCTTCTGTGTATGTGTGTGTCCCTGATTGCCCCCGAAGCACTGCGTGCCCTTTGCAATTATATATGTACTTTGCCTTGGTGTGTTCTTTGTCACCACACTTCCCTCTGTAGGTGTGTTTGTGTGCCCATGTGTGTGTGTCTGGAGGATCCTGTGTTGCACACTAAGTGTGTGATGGTGGCCCAGTGGCCATAAGTACATTCAAGTTATTTATTGTGGGAGTCCATGCTGTTAGGTTGCCTGCCCACCAGGCTCAGGTGTGAGTTTCTGTGCTCATGTTCTTCCTCCCCCCTCTCCCACTGAGCTGCTGTGTCCAGGCTGAGCTGGTCACCGAGGGAGGGGACTGGTCCTTTGGGTTTCCTCGTTCCTGCTATGGACTGAACTGGAGTGTGGTGGAGAGACCAGCAGAGGGCGGCTATGGTGGTGGTGATGATGGTGTGTGTGTGTGTGTGTGTGAGAATGTGAATGACAGAGCGAGAGAATGAGAAAGAGAGAGGCATGTGTGGAGGTGTTTGGAGAGCTGTACCCGGTGTAGGGTGGTATGTGGGATCTGGTGTGTGGCAGGACTATGACTGGGGGTGAGACCGAGGTGTGAGCTATATGACTGGTGGGACACTCACAGTCTGACTGTATGAAACTGCTAGTATGTATGCTGGGGGAGTAACTGGGATTGTGGGGAACTGAGAGTGCTTGGGCGTGGGTGTGAGTAGCATAGGGGATGCAACTAGGTGTGTGGCGCCTGTGCCCTGAGGTGAAGGCACTGGGAGAGGTGAGAGCCGCAGGGTTTGTGCGTGAGCCTGTGGGAGGGTGTGGGTGGGTACAGACACACTCAAGCCTAGCTCTGGATCCTGGGGAGATAAGGGGAGGTCTCCATTTCTCACCTTCTTTACTCCCTAAAATTGACAGACACTAGAGGCTTTGTAGTGTTGTGACGAAGACCTTGGGCTCTCAACTCAGGAAAGACTTGGGCCCCAAAACTCTCTGTACCTATTAAGAACAAGAGACCAGAGGGCCTCCCCTGGTGGCGCAGGTGGTTGAGGGCAGCGCTATGAAGTTGTCCGCAACCTCTGCAGCACTGGTTCGATCCCAGTTGGCTGGCGAGGGTCCCACATGGCGCTGCAGACCTCTCTTGTGTTGCCCGCTGCTCCCCTCAACAGTGTATTTTGTCAGTCTGCCTGTTCTGTTCCCCGCTCTGTCTCTGGTGCATCTGGCCTGTAGCCTGGTTCTTGTATAAATAAATAAATAAATCTTAAAAAAAAAAAAAAAAGAACAAGAGACCAGAACTAGATCTCTCTGACACTGAGTTTCTTTATCTGCAGAATGAAGGTTATTGTGATGACTAGAGGTTCTGGGTTAGAGGTCCCTTAGCACAGCTTTGGTACCCAGTGAGAGCTTAGCACACGCTAAATCTTATTTGTATACTCTCTTCATTCTTCTGGGAGCTGGGGCTGACAAGCCCAGATGGTCTACAACCCAATTTCCTACTTGCTGTGTATCCACTGCCCTCCATCCGCTTGACCACACTCTTTACTGGGGAGAAGACAGGTGATAGAGACCCCACTAGCAGTCAACTCTGCGTAGCCCACAGGATGCCCCATCCGCCCCCACAATCTCAGCAGTAGTGTTGGGGGAGAGAGGAGTGGTGGTGGGGGTGCTTCAGAGTTGTGACTGTAGGCCACTGACACCATTTAACTGGCACAGCTAATTGGAGTTTAAATTAAAATTAGAAATAATTTAAAGCACAGACAAAAAGATAAAGCCTGAGGGTACCTCAGCCCCCAGGGAGTGGTGATGGGGGTCTTCAGCTGGAGGAAGGCTCATATCTGGGGAGGTGGATCTTTTTCTGCTCTGTAGAAAATGTGCTCAGGCTTTTTCACTAGGAGCCCCAGGGCACCTTGCTGCCTTTGCCATTCCTTCTAGGGTCCCTTGGGCCTCAGCTTTTTCACTGTGTAATGGGCACAACAATCATGTGAGAATCACCTGGGCAAGGAGGTACAAAACAAGGAACAAAAAATGTCACTATTCACTTGGCACCTCCAATTCACTTGAACTCACTTTGCCTGTGAGTTCAGGAACAGGAGCTCGTACACCACATCAGGACATATATCCTCTCCCCTTTAAAGATAAGATCAACCAAGGTTCATAGGAGTTGCCCTAGTTCACATGGTGGTGCTATTGATGGCACCTTAGGTCTCCCAAGCCCATAGGGAAACCTTCCACAGACTGGGGGATTAGAAACAGCTTTCTTGCTATGTCTCTAGGCCTCCCCACCAGTCTCAAAATGCTCTGAAGGCTGAGATACTTAGAGAGAGAGAGAGAGAGAGAGAGAGAGAGAGAGAGAACACACACAGAATAGACACAGCAGATGTCCAGGAAAGTTGGACCCACGGCCTCATTTCATAGAACAATAGCTAAGTCCAGAGAGGCTGTGGTCTCTGAGCCAGATGAGGCTGGGCCAGTCCTGTGTCAGCCATGCCAAGACTGATCGATGGGGAGAGCCTGTTTGGTGGCACCCAGCTCAGCTCTTTTCTCTTGTTCCTGCAGGTTGACTAGGAATTGTCCTGGGTGAGGGTGGTGAAGCTACTTCTCCTGTCCTGTGTGGTGGAAGGCTGCAGGAGGCAGACTACAGGCAAGGGGACCTGGCGGCCCCAGGTGAGAAGAGCCCTGTTATGCAGATGGACTTTGTCCAAGGGAGGTCTTCCTCTTTGGTCCCATCCCCTTTTTCCCAGTGTCGGGCAGGAGCGTGTAGAGCCCTTGGTCTAATTATGGAACCTGGGTTCCCAGAGGAGGCAGCAGTTGCCCTGTCTTTGAGGGTGCCTCCTTTGAGGGTGCCTTCTGCCTGAAACTGGCTTCCTACCCTCAGAAGACTGACTTTGGAGCTCAGAGGCCCGGACCCCTGGTGGTTTGGGGCTAAGGAGTGGTGACACTTTGCTGTTAGAGAGAAGGTGGTATGTGAGCCAAGATTTGAGGGTGGGTGTATCAGCTTTTCCATGGCCCCTTATCCTGCTCCTTGTTTTCCACAGGGAAGCAGGTCTACCCTGGGCCCCCAGTGGGTTGGACACAGAGTTGGCAATGGGATGAGGTCTCCCAGCTCCTGATGCAACTGTACTTTCTTTGGTTCCCCTCATTTCCTCAGCCTCTCTGAGGCCAGAGGAGGGCCTATTAATCCCCCTCCTCAGCCCCTAGATTCATAATGAGCTGGATAGTCTCTAAAGAATGCTAAGGAAGGCCCTTCATAAATCTAAACATTCTTTCCTTTGGCATGATCTTTGCCTCCTTTAGTCCCCATTGCAATGAAAACAGCCCTGTGAGGTACCCATTATATGTCCAGAGCCCACTGAGTGGGCTAGTGGAAGGGGGGATAGTGGAAGGGGTTGCTTAGGACACCTGGAACCTAGGGAGAGATGTAGGGAAGGGTGGCAAAGGTTGTCTTTCCTCCAGAAGTTCTGACCGATCAACACCACCCCCTTCCTTACTGGCTCAGATACCTACAAATCTTGGGCAATGAATCTTGCTAGGGGCTGAGCTCCCTGAACCTAATTCTGGGGGAGGAAGGGGCTAGGAGGTCAGATCCCTCACTATGGGTCTGAGAGTGGGGGTGAACAAAGGCAGGGTTTTCATTAGGTCTTCTGTTTATTCAGCCTACCCCCAAATCTAGTGGGGAGGAGGCTGACTGAGAGCCTCTGCTAACTGAGTTTGGGAGGTTATACCCTCCGAGCGCGGAGCCTCACCCCTTAAGAAGTTCAATGAGTTAGCCTTGGAGCCAGCCCACTTTCAGCTCTCCAGCATCTGCGATCTAGCCAGCATAGACATAGGCATACTCACATAAGGAGGCAGAAGCTGAGGCTGCCCTAAGCCCCCGTGCCCGCAGACTCACGAGTGCCCACGCACACACCAACCGTGTGCACACACATTCACAGGTGTCCACAGGCACGCTCAGACACGCATACACACAGTCATCTGTACACTCAGGTTCCTGTCCTTACTCACCGCATTATGCTCATTCTAGGTCAGGAAGGGGGTTCCTTGGACAGAGTCACCGCCAGCCTGCATCTGGCACAGAGGGCAAGGTTTGAGGTGTGGCTGTGACCACAGGTGTTCCAGGAGGCTGGACCTCACCTGGGCTCTGCCCAGGCATTCACCAGTTATCCAGTCTGCCTGGCCTAGGCACAAGCCTGACCAGTACTTGGCACTGGAGATAGAGGGCATGGATGTAGGGAGGTGCCAGTACTCTTTGTGGCTGTTGTCTGTGGTCAGAGGACCAAGGTGTTTCCAGGCATTGGGGAGCCTATCAGCTCCTTTGTTCTGTGCAGCATCCGTGCCTGGAAGTGGAGCTGCTGGACTCTGGCAAGCTGGCAGGATACTTCTCTTAGGGCCCTCTGTGCACATTCTAAGGCCTGGACCCAGGGGAGAGGCCTATCCATCTGAGGCGTTTCCGGAGGCTCATTTCCTCTGGGCTGCCCAGGAAGTGGTTTTGGAGTAGGACTGACCAGCCCTCTGTGACTCGCCCCGCCCCAGCCTTCCCTGCGAGGGGAGCATGTCTGGCCAGTGGATTAGGCTAACTGTCCAGGCTTTCCACAGCCAGGGCTGACCAGGTCTTGACATTAGCTCAAGATGTGGGGTGAAGGGGGCGAGGCCATGCAGTCCCCTGCAGCCCCACCACTCCAATCCGTCCCTTGCTCCAAACTAACTGTTAGCCTGGCTCAGAGTGTTAGCTCTGGCTGGCATGGCCCTGTGTGTGAGTGGAAGTAACTGGGCTGCATTGCTGTGATTAAGCGGCTCCATGCAGCTGTGTGAATAAACCTGGGCAAGTGGTTTTGGTGCCCAGTACCTCAGTTTCTCCCTCAAAGGAGACAAAAATAGCATCCACCTTGATGGGGTCTGTGGCAGAAATAACAGATCTTGTATGCAAAGTAGTTAGCACGGGACCTGGCACATTGTTAATGCTTAAAGAGTAGAAACTATAGTTATATAAAGCTTTTTATGCAAGTGTTACTGATGGATGTGGGGTTGTTACTGTCTGATGGCCTGGGCACTGGCCAGTGTCACAGGGCCAGGTGGCTACAGAGACCGCTGAGAAGCCAGTTCCTTCCCCTCCCCTCATTCTGCTGCTAGTGGCCGTGCTGCAGGTGGGGAAGTTCTGGAGGTTCAAAAGGCTCCGTGTCTTCTGAGAAGAGGAGCTCCAGGGTGGAGCAGCTGTGCCCACACATTGGCCCAGTCCCCTCCTGCTCTTCTCCCCCTCACTCCCTTTCAGAGGGAGAAAATAGATCTCATGACAAATGGATGCAGGGAAGGAAAGGCAGTTGCAGCTGACTGCTGCCCCCTCAGGCCTCCCCTGGGCCCCTTCCCCTGCTCTGGCCCCCTGCAGGACACTGGGCTTGGAGAAGCTGAAGCTGGCGATGAGGGGGTGGATGGTGAGCCCTCCTGCCAGCTTGCCTACACTTCAAGCCCCTGGAGTCAGCCTTTGGACTGGGGAAGGGGGCGGACGTCTGGGGCTGATGGAGGCTGAGGTGGGGGTGGGGGTGGAGAGCTGGAAGTCCTCACATCCATATAGATACATTCTTGACTCATAACAACTGGTGGCAGGGACCTGCCTATCCTGAGGATGCACAGGAGGTCAGTCCAGTGAGGGTTGGGCTGAGCTTTAGCCTTCACTATGCAGGATTAGGAAGCTAGGGGCTTTAGGTGTTAAAGAGTGGTAATGATGGTGGTGTAGTTTGCTGGGGCAGGGGGCTTGACAGAGCCCGGGGCTGGGAGTGTAAGGGCATCCTGAAGGATTAGGAGCAGAACTCCCACAAGCATCAGGTTTGAATCCTTGCTTGATATTAAGTGGTTGTGTATTCTTGAGCCAGGGACTAGACTGCTTTGAGCCTCCATTGCCTCATCTGTGAAATGGGCAAATTAGCAAGTGGCCATCTGAGGAGCCAGTGTGTATTTTGGGAGAGGGGGAAGATGGAACAGCAAGTGCAGAGCCCCTGAGTGGGAAGGAACTTGTCTGTTCAGGAAACTGAAAGGCACCCTTGTGCCTGGGACAGAGTTGGGAGGGAGGTCATGGGGGCAGGTTGGGTGGGGTAGCCCAGGGAGAGGAGTCTGGGGGAAAATTAGAGGGGAAAAGGGAAATGCTGGAAGCTTGGAGGTGGGGGCAAGAGGAGGAGGTGACTGCTGAGATCTGCTTTACTGTCTTAAAAGGCCATCCAGTTGCTGGGACAGAGGGACTATGTGGGGCAGAGGGACTATGTGGGCCTAAGCAGGCAGGTAGTGAGGCAGGGGAAGTGATGGGGCCAGGATGGGGCAGCGGGAGGAAAGAGAGGACTTTAAGATAGACTGTAGAGGCAGAAATGATAGCATTGCTGGATGAGGCAGAAGGTGTGGATGGAAACATACCCCCCCCCCTATTCACCCTCAGGTGTCTGACTGAGCAACTGGGTGAGCTGGTACTGCTAGGGGATGAGGGGCACTTGCCTGGGGGAACATCAGTAGGTCTGGTTTGCACATTTTTGAGCACCTCTAGAGAGTGATGAGGTTGAGGATGCAGGTGGGTCCATGAACCTGGAGTTTTGGAGGCTCTGGACTGAGAGTGGACACCGAAGAGTCAAGATCCAGCATGTAAAGCTGAATCAGCAAGGGGAGGGTTTAGCAGGCCATGCTGGGGAAGTCACAGAGGCCCTGGGTACAGGGCCAGCCTGGCTGTCCCTCGAAAGTCCCTGCCAAAGTGCCCAGGAGGGCAGGCTTGTGGTGGCTGAGCCACTGTTTTCACAACAACTCCGGAAGCTTTGGATCATGTCTATGGCTGTGTTGGGTAAACAGGCTGAGTGGAGCAGCCAGTCACCAAGGTCTAAGACTGGATCAAATGTCTGCTTGGTGTGGGCTGTGGCACTGGGGGCTGGGCTTCCAGCGGGGGTGGGGTGAAAATAGGAGGATAACCAGGTCTTCCAATATTAGAGCGCGAGAAAGCTTAGAAATCTCCATCGTCAAGGCAGGAAGACTCAGGCCTGGAGAGGGATGGCCAGTGGACTCAGGCTACCTGTGCTCAGTTCATCCTCAGTTCATCCACTCAGCAGACAGCAAAGGGCTGAATGGCTTGAGAGAGCCCTTTACCACTGATATAAAGAAGTTTGAAAGTTTCTAGTTGGCTTAGAGACAACTAGAAATTGATGATGGGGCCAGTAGGGAGAGGGCCAGGTGTGAGGATGACAGTGGTGGCTGCTTCGGTGCCAGATCCTGAACTCTGCACATCCTCCCAGGCAGGGCAGGATCCTGCCCTTTCAGAGATGAGAATGCCAGAGCACCTTGATCCAGCTTGCAGGGCACCCAGTGTGACCAGGGACGCACTCCCAGACTCCTGTTTTCCAGTTCCTCTGTTTGCTGCCTCATGTGGCCCAAGGCAAAAGCCTTAGGTGTCCATCTCACTTTCTCCCAAGCAAGGCGATTATTGTCAACAATCTGGAAAATCTTGGAGACTCTAGGAGGGAGCCTCTGCGGGTGCAGGGAGAAGGGTGAGGTGTGGACTCAGGGCCCATCTCTGTAGGGGCTGATGGAGGAGCCTTTCCCACTCCCAGGAGCTGCCCCATTGGCTCTGTGGCTTCTGGTGAACTGCTTCACCTCTTTGTCAGTTTCTGCAAGTGACTATGGAGGTCATGTGTGAGATCTTC